GTCCACTGGCCTTTGCAGGTGACCATAACAAGAATCCTATCTAGTTCACTTTAAAACTCCAATCTCATATCTGATTTAAAGTGATATCCATCACCAGTGAGGTTTTAGTTCTAGGACACTGAAGTGTGTGTGTGTGTATTTCTGCAGGCATGTGTGTCTGTATTTCTATGTATATGCATGCACACACATGCATGACACACATGTGGTCTTTTGCTCCTCCCCCCACCTCCATCCTCAAGGTAGGATTGGCTAGGAGGTTTTATTCTGGGGTCATTTATTCTCCTTCCTTTACAAAACCTAACTTCACTCATGCCAGGTGCCAAGAGAAGGAATAGGGAGCAAAGGACAAAAGCCTGTTTGTTAACTGGGCATGTGATTGAAATTCCGTTGCTATTTGCCCCTGCTTCTCTGGCTGAGGCCTCAGTGCCATCCGCACGATAGGTGTTCAAACGCTGGCTCTCTCATGAGACACATCTGTTGGTTCTACAAATTCCTCCCGGCTGCATGATTCCATTTTCATTCCATTTTTTTCCTACTCTCAACAGTAATGCATAGCGTTTTTGCTTCTGGGGTCATCTTGGGGGGTAGGCATCTCTCCTCCGATGGCTACAGGAAGAAGACTCAAGCTGAGCTACTTTTTGCAATGCCACAGGAAGCATATGTATCCTTGCCATGCCAAGGGTAGGAGTGCAGATGACTCTACTGCTCACTCAGCTCTATTAGTTGTGACTGTGGCAGATGCAATAATATTCACCTAATATTCCATGTGCTTCCCTTTATTTCCCAGTCCCTTCTGCACTTAGGGAGGACATGTGCCTAGATTTGACAACTATATCTGGTCAGAGGCAATTAAGAGAAGGTATGAATTCTCTGTACTCTCTTCTCTTTCACTGGCCCCTCAGAAGGCCACATGCTAAGATGGCAGCATCACAAGGTGGCTCAACCTGGAACCCCAAGCAACTATGTGGAAAAGGATCCCTCACCAATCATGAGAGACATAGAGTGTGCACAAGAAATAAATCTTTGTAATTTAATCCACTGAGATTTGGAGGTTAATTTGTCCCACAGCAAAACCTACCTTCCTATCCATCTAGCATTCTATCCAGGCAAATATTTATATATAATTATTTTGTATATAGATAGTTTTGAATTTACATAAATATATACATATTATCTTTAGTTATGTGTTCCATATATGGCAAGAATAAGTTATTATATACATTATATAAATAGTAACTGAATGTTTTATACAATAAATAATATATTCAGTATTATAAAATATAATACAATACACTAATATAATAAATATTATTAATAAAATAAATAATTAAATAACTTAAAATAAGCACTGTCTTAAATCAGGACTATCATTAGTTAGAAAGTAAGTAAATTAGTAATTAGTACACGATCGTCACACCTGTTGCAAAACAGACATCAGAGCACACACAGAAAAGTGACTCACTGTACGATTAATTCATAAGTGATACACAAGACAATTTTTAAAACTTGGAAAAGAGAGACATCTAGAAAATGAAGGTGGTAACACATCACATCCACCACATCTATCTGTAAGACACAGCCCGAAGTGTAAAAGTCTCAGGGAGCTGCCAACTTACTATGTAGGAGAGGCTGCCCTCCTCTTCATGGGAGAATGGGGCCCAGAAGTTGTGTGAAATTCAGTATTCTGATCTAAAAATGTGGGTCTGCAGATAAGAAGTAACAAGAGAACAAGGCTGTGTCCTGGTGAAGTGGCACTCAACACCTAGAAAGGAGACAGCAAAGTTAGTTGTCAGCCTAAGGCATCTGCAAAGCAGCAAGAACACAGCTGTAGTTTAATACAGTAAATTACACTTGCAATGAGGAGCTTGCCTCCTGCAGAAGGCTGGAATCCTGTTTAATATTTGTATTTAAAAAGGCATCAAATTAGAGAATATATTTTATTAAAATGCACATGAAAATAGTCACTCCAAAAAAGATTAGTGCTGAAGGAGATATATCAATATTTCACTTTTGTTCTTACAGTTCTGACTCCACTGTCCCCTCCAAATGTGGGGAATGTAGCCATGTTTCTCAAGAACTGGAATGTAGGAAACATCACCTCTTCCTATCCCTGCCTTATTCCCTTTTAAGCTCTAGAGTAGTGAATAATCATTTACCAATAAGACCTTTGGAATAGCATTCATTTCAATATGGTTTCCTTCACGAAATTACCTTCAAGAGCTGTGAAACGTCTGAGATTTTTCCTATTTGCAAGTTAACAGGTTATCCTGCCAAGTTTCATGGATGATGGCAGAAGACCCAAGACTCCTGGGTCATAGATGAAGGGCAGTTTATAACTCGCAGCAACATCAGTAGCTAGAGTATTGGCATTTTTGCGGTAGTTCCACGAAGCCCAATTCCCACAGGGTGACGTGAAGAAAGCAAGAAGATACCTGTCCACGCAGAGGGTTGCATTACAGGAGAGGAACCCGGAGCTTGGGGAACTTGAATCTTTTATAATGAGCACTAGGCATGCCTTCCCTTTATTCCAGAGGGAGACATCATCTTTATTATATTGGACAGGAAGCATGCCTGCCCTTTACTCCTGAGGGAGACACTCTCTCTATCTACTAAGACTCTTCTATATATAAATATCCTTGAAAAGACAGCCTGAAACAAAGGGCAGGAAATGCCTCGCTCATAAGATGTGCAGAAAAACAACAGATGCATACAGAGTTGTCTTCCAGACGTTGTTGAGAAAAATATAAAATCTAAAAAGTTTTTGGAAGCAAAAGATAATACAGAGGCTTGTAGGCTGTACTTCAGTTAGCATCCCAGGCCACCATCAAACCACATGATGACATTTGAGGCCTGCTGAATGCTGGTCTGCCATAGTGAATGAAACCTAAACACCCTGGACAAAGAATAAGAAAGAATTTTAATGCCCTCTTCGACTACCCAACTCCATGCACATAAACAATAGAATATAACTTTTTTGAGAACTACGTCTGTCTTATTCACTGCTATATCCTCCACTTGCTAAAATAGTGCCCAGCATATAAGAGGCATTTAATATTTACTGATGAATGGATGAATGAGGGTAATCTCATTACTCTTCAAGGATACTGACAGTAACATACATTTTTCTGATTAAATCACGATAGAAGTAAGTTCATCTGATTAAACCAGGAAGTATGTGAAATACAGGTTGGAAGTGCCATATTTCTATATAGCTCTTCAGAGTTTAAAAAGAGTGAATTCTTTGAATACATATAATTTTCCTTGAAGGTGTATGCATTTGATTTTCTTTAATACAAATATAGAAAGTTCTCTGTAGTTCTGCTGTGTTTATGAACAGATGGAAGTAAGGGAGTGAAAAGGGGTGAATGTGGAAGGGACTGGACAAAACCACAGCGTTTTGGTTTCTCTGTGTGAGATTAGTGAGTCATCGAGGTTACAGAAAGTTGGGAAGTTTCAAGTATACATAACCCCTCTCTGAAGAAATAAAAGAAATAAAAGAGATGACCCAAGAGAAAAGGGCACAATAAAGAAGAGATAGTTCCCCAAACTGCCATCACGTGATTCCATGATCCCAACAGCCTGGTTATCCTATAGAATGCTCTGAGTGGGGAAGAGGGGCTGTTCTTAAGCCTGAGGGGAGTTGACAGCACAAGGAGGAAAAACTCAATTCCCTTTTATACAGAATGTATTCTCTTGTATTCTCACCTCAGCTAATTCCCTCACAGCTGGTTAAGAGATGCCACCTTACTGCCAAACCAGTAAATACCAACTCAGGATTTACTATTTGTGATTTACCACAGTTTCCCAGGAGCCAATTGCACGAATAGTGTGTAACAACATGCCAACTAAGTGAGGAGCAAATGGAAAAGGAAAAGAATCCTTAAAATCAATAATGAGGCTTTTCTTTATTTTTGTTGTGTTGTTTGCTTTGAATTAAGATTAATACACCTAAAAAAAAAAAAGAAGGTAAGTACTTTAATCAGTGTCTGTAGGCAGAAAATACTGCTGCATTTAGGCAGAGTCCAATCTCAAGTTCTAAAATCTATATTCATTTAATATCATGAAGAATAGTTGAAGCTTTTCATCTAAAATGTGAAGTTATAGGGCTGCCTGGGTTAGTCGGTTAAGTGCCCGACTTTTGGTTTTGGCTCAGGTCATGATTTCATAGGTTGTGGGATGGAGCCCTGCATTGGGCTCCATGCTCAGCAGGGAGTCTGCTTGAAGATCTCCCTCTGCCCCTCTCCCCACTCTTGCCTGTGTGTGTGTTGGGGGGGGCATTACCCCAAAGGTTTTATGCAGATTAAGCTTCCCTAACTTCAGAAAAGTGCTACAGACTTATCCCCAAGATCATTTAAAGGTTTAATTATTTATATTTATTTTATACTGATTTTAGTTTTGGGAATATTTAAAAATGAATTATTGATTTTATTGAGTCAGCTTCTCTGACTGAAGATGCTAAAGGCTAAAACAAAAAACTAAAATGTGCTATGCAACATGTACAAAACTAAATAAATAAGAAAGAACTTTAAGGTCTATATCTGGGCTCATGTAAGGCAAACACATTCTATAGGAAAGATGGATTTGAGGACATATGTGATCCTGAGTATAAATGTCAGGGTACAAGTAAAAATTCCAGGTAGTTTTGCACACTTTCCAGGCAGTAAACTGGTAAGACTGAACTCAAGGTCTCCAAACAGTAAAGGGGGACCCAGGTAATATATGGGCTATACATGGAACAATTAGAAAATTTCATTAAGGTAGCATATATGATATGATGAAAGGGTGTAGGAAAATAGGATGGCAGGGTAGGGCAGAGAGACCTGAAGGACCTAGGAGGGGTGGAGGAGTCTTCTGGGCTAGTGGGTGGGGGAGGGGTTGTGAACACACCCTCTTCAATTCTCCCCCACCCCCCAAAACCCTTTGTGACTCTTAAGTGTTCTGTGATGTAAGCTTGGGGAGGATATATATTCAGTGTCTACACACTTAAGAGCTACAGGCAGCCTTGTGATTCAGACAATGGAGTTCAAAAACTGGAATGTTCTCTCATTTCTGAATACCTATACTGAACCATGTCTGAGCTTCAGCTCAACATGGTTGGAGATTGACTCCAACTTCACCTTCCTGTGTGGGTTGGGATTGCTTCTTCTGTTCCTGTGCTACCGGATGCTTCCATTTCCAACTTGGAAAACCAAACCCACCCAAAAGGTAAGGAGCCCTCAACACAGATTATTATGGTTTCCATTTCTAATCCCAAATCTTATTTACTTTAAAGATTTTATTTATATATTTGATAAATAAGACAGAGCCCAAGTTGGGGAGAAGGAGCAGAGGGAGAGGGAGAAGAAGGCTCCCTGTGGAGCACAGAGCCTGATGTGGGGCTTGATCCCCAGGACCCTGGAATCATGACCTGAGCTGACGGCAGATGCTTAACTTGACTGAGCTCCTAATCCCAAAATTTAAAATGAGTTTGGTAGGGTCAGAGAAACACCTAAAATGGGAAGTCTAAGAGAAGAGACATTCGCTTCTCTAGGACAAGAGGTCTGGAAGGGCTAAGGGTGAAGGAAGGACTAAGGTTTCTACTTCAAACTCACAGGCTATCTGGATGTGGTGGCAGGTCTTGGGTAAAATCCCAAACACAGGGATTCTGTAGTCCTTATTTAGAGAGTATGGAATCTGTACGAGAACGTTTCCCAGCATTTGATCATAAGTCACATTCCCATGTCAGGCATCACTCGATCAAGCCTTCATGTTGGGCTGATCAGGAGAATGGTGCTGAGCCTCTGGGAAGAGACTGGGGTCTGAACTACATCCTAGGATACAGGGTCCTACCTGAGGGAGCACAGATGTGACTGTTGGACTTCATATTCTTTCTTTTTTTTTTTCTTTAAGATTTTATTTATTGGAGAGTGTGAGAGAGAGCACAAGCCAGGGGGAGGGGCTGAGGGAGAGGGAGAAGCAGACTCCCCGCTGAGCAGGGAGCCCAATGTGGGGTTCGATCCCAGGACCCTGGGAGCATGACCTGAGCCAAAGGCAGATGCTTAACCAACTGAGCCACCCAGGCATCCCCAGAGAGAGCATAGGCAGGGGGAGAGGCAGTGGGAGAGGGACAAGCAGACTCGCTGAGCAGGGAGGCTGACATGGGACTCGATCCCAGGACCCTTGAGATGATGACCTGAGCCGAAGGCTGACACCTAACTGACTGTGCTACCCAGGTGCGCCCAGACTTCATTTTCTATATCCTCATTGAACAAAGGACTTCTGACTGAGACTCTCAAGTGTGGACCTCCCAGATAAAATCCTCCTTTAAATTTTTTGAAGAAATATTGAAAACATTTTATCAGCTTTAAAAATTGATAAAAGCAAGGAACACAAAGTTCTATTAATTGAAATAAAGTCGTACTATTCTTGGATAAAGAATGTCTCCATTCTAAGAGTGAGGGATGAGTCCCAACACCCCCATTCTTTTATTTTTGTTCTAGCATCAGGGCAGAGCCAAGAGGAGGAGGAAAGGTGGGACTCTGAAAGGTAAGATTCTGCCTATTCTACCTGAGCTCTCCAAGGGTGACCCTTCCTGTCCCTTCCATGAGGGCTCAGGCCCATGACCTCTGAGGAGGTCAGCTGCTAGACACAGTCCCTCTTAGAAAACAGAGGCCTCAGAGCAGTCAGAACCTGAGACCCTTAGATTCCCTGCTCTGACTCTCTTCCTGGGCATGAAGCAGTGATGGATCTGGGCAGTGGGTGTTGCCCAGAAGGTGGCTGTGTGAGATGTCAAGAGTCAGAACTTCTGTCTCCTGACTTTGTGAAAGACCTGTGACATCATGGATACTCAGGACCCTTCCCTGAGGTAACCACTGACCTCTGTGCTTCACAGAGGTGGTCTGAGTATCACATGAGATAATTTACATGAAAGTACTTTATCCATGAAGCAAGAATACTAACCAGGATCACATCATTGACCATTTGACCTCATCTATTGATTATTGGGGCTTTCAGAGTCTAATATCCCCATGGGTGTCCCAGAAGGGGACTCCTGTATTAATGCCTATGTTTCTACTTTCACTACATATATGCCATTCTCCCGGTTTCCCAGACTACAGATGCTCCCAGAGAGAAGATGAGGAAGCCCGGAAGCTGATCTCTGTTTTAAGAAGGTGACCAGTCTTTCCCCTTTTATTCTGATCCCTCTTAGAGTACGTTTTACGCAATTGTAGGATTCAGTGCAGCCTGCTATAGCCATGGGAGGGGGCAGCCATAGGAACAGGTATTGGGGTGAAGGCTACTGAGTACATTGTGAAGTCATAAAGGTGGGGCATTGGGAGGGGTCAGCAGGCTTCAGGTGGCCCCTCCCTCTTGCCAGGCCCGCATGTCCTCCTTCCCTTGTTCTGGTCCTGGCTGCAGCTTTGTACCTCCTGTCTCCTGCAGCCCCCTAGGCCGGCATCATGATACCATCCACTTTCATCAACTGCTATGTCCAGACCCCTCCTGTGAGGTGTGTAATAGCACAACTGCTGAGATCAATCGGCTGCTGTTCCCGCAGGCCCTGGAAGATGCTACTCCCTTGGCTTCCACAGCCCCTGTGACTTCCTCATCATTCACTCTCTCCCCTGACTCCTCAGCAGTCCCTCCAGGAGACCTAATATCAGCTTCTCTGCCTGAGCCTTCCCCACCACCTGCCTCCATCTTCTCACCTAACCCAGTGACCCCCTTGGCTGACTTTTTTCCACCCTCACCACCGGGTGATTCTTTGCCACCAGAGTCTTTTCCTCCGTTGGATTCCGAATTCCCAAAGGACAATTTCCCACCCCAGTCCCTTGCCTTTCCTCCAATCCCACCAAATGATGCTCAGACAGTGGATCCTGTTGTCCATTCAGAGGCCACTTTGTCTCTAAATACCAACTTCTCTCTGGACTCTACCCTTTCCCAAGATGTCAACCCCTTACCGGAGTTGTCCCAGATGGTGAATCCCACTGAGAACTTTGCTTGTCCTAATGCACCACCAACCCTGTGTGTTTCACCACCACCAGCTTGCAGTTTAACTATGACTCAATCTAAATCGATTTCCATCTCAATGAAGCCTGTTCCAGAGATCTCATCTCCAGATAGCTCTGGTGGGTTGCCTACTTATGTCCCGACAATCATAGGCATTAATGCCTCCAGATTGTCAATTTTAGACTTCCCTTGGTGGCAAACTCATGCCAAAGACTTCTTCCCTTCAACCTTGGCTCCATATAATGTCCATCACGAGTTGCTGGCCCTCCATTCTTCAGAGGCTTCTTCCAGGGGA